CTGAGCGGAAAACCGTGCTCGGTGAAACAAACAGAAGTAAAACAAAGAAATATAACAGTTGGAGTCAGAATTGATTGTGAAGAAATTATGAACGGAAAACGTCCTCGTGGATTGCTGCTTTTCTTCATACCTTCTTGGTCACCACAGGTCCTTCCCCCTATCACCAAGACAGACTTTCCACCTTTTTATGGCACCTATATCCGTCCCCTCCTAGAATATGGCTGNTTATCCTGAACGTCTAGTGGAGCTTAATCTGTATCCTCTGGAAATCAGGCTAATTAGGGGTGACTCATTTCTTCTGCACTACCTGTTCTCTTCGGGCCTAGTAGATAAGTTCTTCACTTTGCCCCCACGGGTGGAACACGGGTAATAGCAAAAAGCTATACAAACCTCAACCCCCAATCATACTTCGCACATCCTTCTTTAACTTCATGGCAATTTCGCAATGGAATGCATTGCCAGACGAGATAGTCTCTTCAACAAGCAAAGCGTCATTCAAGTCTCCACTTGATAAGTATCTAGGTCTAGTTGCCTCCTCCTAAGTCCTCCTATAAAAAGCTATAAGTATGTATTCAAAAACAAAACAAAAAATAACGAATCAAAAAAATCTTATAATTTTGCTTTTTATTATTTATTTTACTGTAGCCCTTCTTAGTTATTCTATGCCTGCCCATTTACTATAGCTCATTGTTAGGTTTATTATTTATGATGCCAGAATAGCCCCCGGGAAAGAAGATATATCGTCCCTCCAATTTTCTCTGATTTTCCAGTTGCTTCTTTCAAAAACAGACAACAAGAAACTATCAAGGATCCGGGACCATTGGGCGCCAGCCTCGAACCCGAGAGTTGTAAGGGGCAATAATCTCGTTTAGGCCGGTTCATTATGTATTCATGTCATCCTTTCATTAATTGTCATTCGCCTATCTGTGTTCCTTCCAGACGTGAATGCTACTCAAGTTATGCTCCCTAACCAACCCCATTCAACTCCCGAGGACCTCCCGGACAGTTGCCCCTAGCCCCCCAATTGCACCCCTCTTGTACTGAGATCGAGTTATGGTTGACTTTTCCCCAATGCACGCTGTGCTCCGGTCTATGTCTTCTCCCTTCTAAGGGTTGATCGATACCATTCTCGTCTGACTGTTCTTGTGTGTGCGCCAGGATATTTTGCTGATGTCTGCCCAACGATCCCTTTCAGATCGCAATCGGCTGTGTGGTCCAAACCTGCGTCTGTCTGTTACAAATTTGGCGACGGGGATGGGATCTCCTAGGAAAGATTCCGGAGAATACAGCGACGACGAAATTGCCAGCCCACCGACTATCAGGAGTCGTCTACCGCAAGTCACATTCACGGCTGCGCCGGCAATACAGTTGGAGCCGCCACCGCGATTTGAAGCTGGAACCAATTTGACACTATGGCAGACGAAGATGCAAAGATTCCTGCGTCGAGTGCCGACAGAAGAACACAGTCTGTGTATCCTGTATCTTTTAAGTGATCAGGTACAAGAATTACTGATCATCGAGAACGTGGACGAGGACTCCCCTCCAGAGTCCAGCTTGAGGGAAATGTTCCCAGGTCAGGTAAACCATCCCTCCCTCCGACATCAATACTGGCGAAGAGACCAAAGACCAGGGGAGTCGGCGGAACAATATGCGAACGAATTAGGAATACTGGTCAGTTGATGGTTTCCTGAGAAGTTCAAGGAAGTCCAACGGGAGTTTGCTCTCGAGCGGTTCAGAGAGGGACTGTTGACCTCGTTGCCAACGTGAGCTCCAAGGCCGAGCCCCCACCACTCAGGGGGAAGCGGTTCGTAGAGTGGAGACATTCGACATTCAGAGCCTGGTCAAAAACGA